GACATTGTCAAGGTGCCTCTCAGTAAAAAAAAAACAACCCCCCCCCCCTCCCCACCATAGAGCATAATTGCAGAAGTTTTTGTGCAGGCATTGAAGAGCTGGGTTTGGCTTGGAAAAAAGTATCTAGAAGATTTTTCTGGACCCCAGTGTGTATTATATGGTCAGGACGGATCATTACATGCAAACTCCAACTAGCTTTTTGGACTATGAGAATGGAAAAGGAAGGACTTAGGCAAAAGGCTAGGGATTTTGAACTTGAAGATTATTAAGATAGCAGGATCCTTTTTTTTTTTTTTTAGCTTGGGTACAGTTACTTAAGTTCATGATTAAAATGTTGAGTTTGGTGAGAAAAATAAAACATCTCAAATATGGTTCAGCCTGGATGAGCACAAAGTTTGTGTTGGGACCATGGATAACATTTCCCACCATGGGTGATCGTTCATTGAAATAATGATCCCTACTGGCCTTACACAAACACTCTTCTTTGCAGTGGGTGTGACCATGGCAACTAATATTCACAAGCCCAGTTCAGTTTGGGAGGCTTGTATATATTCTGCCTTCCAAGCCCTAAGTATATGCTACCTCCTGTTCTTTCCTCCTAACGTTCCACTAGTGCAGAGTGGGACCAGACTGGATGCAGAGAAATAGGGACAGGAATTATTTCCTAATGTGCTGTTAGAGCAGCTTAATGCACAGACAGTAACCATACTTATCAACAGCCATGAAGACTTTCTTCCAACCGAGCACTCTATCAAGCCATATTTAAGGCTGAGAGTATTGTTACAACAGTGACATTTTAGGAGATGAAAAACTGAGGAGGTTGAGCTGCTTATTCCTAGTGATGAGGAGATACCATACTAAAAGGGAACCTCCCCATTTAAAGGTGTGACTGAAAACCAGGTATTTGGGGTGGACCTTGTAACAGGAATGGGATGTTGCTATAGTTGCATGTCCTTGGGTCCTAATGCTTGATCATTCACAACTTCTTAATGCAGCCTTCTGCAATCTGGTGGCTGCTGGTGTGCTGAGATGACAACTTCCAGAGCTTGTAGCCAATATGGCCATTAGGAGTTATAGTTTCAACATATGGGGAAAATTCCAACTGAAGAGAATATATGTAGCTCAGGGTTGAATTGTGGAGTCTCAGGGTTGAACTGTCTTCTCGAGCACACTGGAGCAATGTAGCGAACATGTGATTCCATAGAAGACAAAAGCAAAGACTAAGAAGGTTCTCCTATTCAGATTTTTTTTTCAACTTGGCCCTGCCTCTTCAGAAAAAGGTAATGCTTTTATCTGGTATTATTCTATGTATCTTACTGCATTTGATATTGCATTTGATATGCTTTTTACTCTTTGACATCACCAGCAGATATTTTGCATAGTAAGCCATATACAAATTTTTAAAATGCTGTTTCTCTCCATCAGCATCTGCTGTATTAACTAATTATTCTTTTTTTTTTCAGAAACTGTTGGTTTAAAAGGACAGGAGCCTTCCCTAATTTAACATTTTAAAACATGTTTTAGAGGCTTCCAGGTGAGGATTTATGGCGGACTAGACATCCCTATAGGAGCAGGGATGGCATTGCGGCGGCGACTGGAGGCCACACGGTGAATTCTGGTTGACAGAGTCTCTCTGCACAAGGAGAGACCGAGAGATCGGCCACCTACACTCCAGACACCTGCTCCTCTTGAGGAGACTGCAGGAACTGAAGTTTTTGCAATTGTGAGTTGAGTGACTGTGAGTTGAGTGACTTCAATCAAGGCCACAGCCATAATGCAGCCTATATGGACACAAGCCTCACTTTCTTAAACACTTTCGGATGTAATTAATTTACAGCTAAGGAGATTTTCTGAGTGGCAGGATAAGAGAGTTCCATTTGGTGAGTCAACATTCTTTCTGGATTAAAAAGAAAAACAAAATTTCGAAGATTTAAAAAACTTTTGCCAAAAAGCTTAACAAGGAGAGGATGTAAGAAAGTTTAAAATGGATAAAGGGGATAGTAATTTTGAAAGATTACTTTTTGGTGAAAGTACTAATTCCAAAATTGGAATTAAAATAGACCAATGGACCAGACCTTTGTGGGAATGTTTTTTGTTTACTATCAAAGAGTGCAGAAAATTGGTGGATTTTACAAGACAAATGGTAATATAAGTCAGATTGTGATGCTGACTGTAACTACGTGCCATTTGAGATGAAAGTATTAAGGGTACAGGAAGACAAAACAGAAAAAAAGAATTTTGTCAAGGGGAATACAAAATAAAATCAAGAGAACTGGTGGCAGAGGGATACTGTTGCCAGTGATTTTCTTATTCAGAGTTATTAGAAAGATTTAAAGTAGACAAAAGAGTTTATAGTTTTGAACACTGTAAGACTGAGTTTGAAACAGAATTGTGTACAAATGATGAACATGTAATTGCTAAAATGTATAAAATTTATTAAAATTTGAAACAGAAGAACAAGTGAAAGAACGTTATGTTAAAGTGGGCTAAAAATGTTGGTTATAATATACAGATTGAACAATGGGAAAATATGTGGTTGAGAAGACTGAAATTTACATTGTTATAATCTTAAAGATATTTATAAAAAGATGTATTGTTAGTATATTACACCAGATAAATTGTCTAAAATATATAAAGGCACTTCAAATTTATGTTGAAAATGTGGACAACATGAAGGAACATTTTATCATGCTTGGTGGACATGTAAAAAAGCTAGAAAATTTTGGATTCAAATACATACAATGATTCAGAGAATTTTAAGCTTAATATACAATTGAGACCAGATCTTTCTTTTGGGACTGATGGACAAGAGTTGGAAGAAAGTCATGGAACTTTGTTTTTGTACATGATAACCGCAGTGAGATTATTGTATGCACAAAGATAGAAAGATTCGGCAATATCTACAATGGAGGAATCGTTGGTGAAGATAACGGAAGTCGCTGAGATAGTCAAATTGAATTATTTGATTAAAGACAATATCTACATTTTTTGCTGACTGGAAACCCTTATGGACTTTTTGGTAAAACAGAAAAAAATGAACTTATGATTTATGGTTTTGATTAGACAGGATAGATTACAGAAAGAAGAGAGTCATGATGTAACTTTAGAGAAAGAAGTAAATTTATAATTGTGCTTATAATTGCTGTAAAGAAGATTGGAAGCCATTTCTTTGAATCTTTTTTCTTTCTTTTCTATATTTCTTTTTTCTTTCTTTCCTGCACTTTTATCTTTCTCTCTGGTTTTTCTTTTTCCTTCTTTAGTTTATATTTGTTTTTATTAGTTTTTACCTTTGTTTTAAAAACTTTTAATAAAATTATAAAAAAATAGACATGTAGAGAACGCAAACCTATGATGGTATTACGAACGGAGAAATAAATTGTCAGAGCACATTTCTTATTTCAGACATGGTTTTATTACAATAAAAACAAAAATTAGCTTAGCTTTTGGTATAAAAGATCTGTAATAGTATGTCATCTACAGCCTCAGGTCTCCAAGCCATTGCTGAACAACTTCAATTGCTAATACTGCAATCATATACTGTATACTCAGACTGTTTTCAGTGGAACTTGCCCTTGATTGAATATAGATATTATTCTTCCTTAGATGAAAGTCATCTTATCATAATTCATATATGCAATAGTGTTTTTAATGACAAGATCAATAGATGGCAGAACTGCTTTAAAATACTGTGGGTTCAACTA